GCATCTCCACATAACAGCCTGCTGCCTGTGCATGCCTGTATGTGCGCCTGCTGCTGATGAGAAACCTGCTGTCTGCTGCTGGTTGTCTATAACTATACATAGCCATATCTATAGATATACACCCCGCAAAGCAGGGGGAACGAAACGAAACGGGGGAAGTGAATTAATAAATAAACGGAGAAAATGCATGCATGTGGACGGTGGCTACTTAGCAACGCAATTATAGATATGATATGTTAGATGTGATATCACCGAGGTGGCCACTCCTGCTGCACGAGCATCATGCATGTCGGAACATGGCAGCGGAAACATGAAAACTCACTTCCTGGAATTCCCTCGTGTCCGAAGGCGACGATGCGGCCTTTTCCGGAAGGCAACTGAACAGCCGCCACCGTTGGGAGTGCATTGCCGCCCTCGTCGCCGAGGGCAACTGGGAACGCGGAAGGCGACCAGAGGATATACGGTGAACAGTACGCGGACCGTGGATAGCTTCCCTTTATGCCTTTCAAAAGAATAGGAAGGTTTGTCTGGTAGACGGATTGGAGAGATGTGAGAAGGGGCAACTGCTGGGCCGAGGCCAGTAATGGTGAAACCACTGCTAGAGCCAGGAACAGCGCTAGAGCACGATAATGAATCTGTGCGTATTTCATTTTTTTCATGATTTGGTTTCCTCGTATCAACCCAACAGGCTTTCCGCTAGTAGTAAGGTCCGCTTGCCGTTTCCAGCTGTTTGCTGTTGTCGGCAGTGCGCAAGAAGGGAAGACGGTCGGGAAGGAGATTCGGGCTTTCAGTCATTATAAATTGATTCTTTTCAAGAAACGATGCGTTGAAACTATCTGGGGCCTTATTGGTTTAAGCAGTGGTGGAGTACTGCGCAAAAGCATCCATTTCAAACGTTTGTAGCTGAGTTCAATAAAATATTATAACACTTGGGATTTGTCTATACCAACAATTATTGAGGAGAGCGGTTATCAGTGCTCGCGCCCGCCAGGAACAAGCAAATGAACAGGTCAAGGCACAAAGCAATATCGAATCCTTCTTGAAGTTTAACCTCATAAGAACCACATCTATTAGTAATATTCTCACATGACACCCCAAATTGCCTTGTGCGATTCTCTTATTATTGCGCATTCTTACTACAACAGCACGTACGAGACTGCCGTTTTGTCTTTATCTTATCCCAGTTGCTGTGATGAGTATCGAAACATAGTGCATTGGGGGGATTATGGCTCTGTGGGGCTGACTACCTCGCTCCGGTGCCATTAGTCGTACGTACTCGCGTGCTGTGCGTGGGTAAGGGTCAAGTAAGGCGTCTATTAAAGTATACAGTACTTCTACAAAAGGACCGTGTTCCATATATTCGAAGGTAACCCGAGTTTATGGCACGTAATAATTACAGCCTTGCCAAAGAGCGACATCCCCCGAACTCCCGTGCGCTCCGAGACCACTCCGCAACCACCTCACCCGTCGGATCCCCAAATGCCATTTTAAAGGCAAAAAGGCATTATTCTTGCAGGAACATCTTATAAAATGCATACGACATCTTTTCGTGCGAGGCGGTTGACCCTCTTCAATTCATATCCGCAAGCTCTGCCGCCTTTTTATTTAGCACCGTTCAGCTCTTCCCCACCCGAATCTGCAGGCCCCGAAACCAAAGCTAAGTGTCCCGCTCATCCGGTACGACCGCTCCTAACGCTGAAAAACGAATTCGTACTGCCCCTTATCAGGCAAGCCGGGAAGCCCCTGCCCCGTAGAATCGAGCTAGTGTCGAGTTATGCGGTCTGCTGATTCTCGAGGGCCCCTATCCCTTTTTTTAATCTTAAGCGGTGGCGGCTGAGGCATCCCATACACAGTCTCGTATTAAGCTTCGGGGTGAGCTGTATTGTTGTTCAACGTGTGCGTTTTCGTCTTAGGTTTCCCAATGAAATGCAGTGCATGGCCCCCGTTCTGGCCAGGACCTGGAAATGGCCCGACCTTGGCGGGCTTTCCCTTGGGGCCTGGGGCTCGCTGCAATACCTACTACTACTGACGGTGGCCAGGGCACTATCACATCCCAAACACACTGTCGGGGGAAAACGTCCGTCGGGGCAGACACATGCGCATGTGCAAGTGTCCATTTCTTTCAAGTCAGGTCGGCACAGCAGCAGGCACCCTTTTACATATCTGCTGGAATGCCAGATTATTATCGTATAAAGCCACAACCAAATTCAGTGAGCGCTGCAAATAATCCTTTTTATGGTTGCCCTGCCTGCGGGCGCTGCCGTACTTGCCGTACTCGCTCAAAGAAACACGCGGCGCGGCGGTCGGACGGATTTGCCAAGTTAAGAAGGGTACGACGTAGGAACTGGGGAAACCACGCCGCCCTGAGGAAACATCAGCAGGCCTAATGTATAGGCGTTGTATATATATACATCGATCGGCCGCTGCTTGGTGTTGTACATATAATTATCCTGCAAATGGTGTATTATTTATTCTCCATGTGTTGGCTGTCTTCTTTTATTACATACTGTGGCTTCCTGGAGGACATATCACGAGATCTGCATCCGCCGATCGGTACTTTTCTGAAGTCGTGAGGTAGCAGTGCGTGTATCGGGTGCTTGGTGAAGGCATCCTCGACCTTCAATGTCCACTTCAAGGTCCCCGTGTGATGGCAGCATCGACAGGATAACCAGCAGCTGCGGGGCCTGGCACCTCCCGCTCAGAATTTAAACATTTATAGATGACATTCGAACCCAGCTGGTCGGAACGGAGACACCGGCTCGATATCAATTGTTATATCGCGACTTCAGAAAAGCACCGATCGGAGGATGCAGATACCGTGATGCAGATACCCTCCAGGATGCTACACGCACGCACACGCACCGCACTGTTGCAATCAGTAGTGCCACCGCCGCTCAGTCCACTAGTACTCGCCGCTGCTAATACGCCAGCATGCACACACCGTGATGCACGAGCGCGTTACTTTACATGTAGTAGCTGGCCGCTGAAGATTAGGCCGCTGGAAGATGCTGCTGGTAGGGTGCAATGCATTATATTATTGAGCACGTGCTCATGGAGGATGCACATGCGTGTTTTTGTCCCCTGTACAACAGCTACTGCTCATAGTTACACCTCATTGAGGAGAGGAACGGAAATCAATTCCAAGGTCTAACACACACATACACAAAAAGTTAGTATGCAAATGTCCACACGCACTTTCGAGGAAACGTATTGATTTCAAAGTCTACTTGGAAGTCACAGGTTGGAGGTTACAGAGGAGGCGCGCATACATGATCGGCCGTGGTGACCATAACGGCCTTCGTTCTTCAGTTGTACGGCGCCGCACGGGCCCACGCACGCAGGCAAGGCGTACGGGCATGCATAACCATGGCGAATGTAACAGTAGTACGACTGTCCGTCATCAGCTGAGTAACCTGATGTTGTTGAATGGTGGCACACTCTGCTATCAGCGGACTAGAAGCTTCTTCTCCTGGCCTGGACGTGTCCAGCAGATCGATGTGTCCAGCAGGTCGACGTCTTCAGCAGGTAGCTATGATGGGACGCCCGACGGAGGGAGGCCTAGTCGGCCTCCGCAATCTAAAACTAGCGGGTGTCAGATTATTCACATTATGTAGTAGCCAGCTAGCTAGCTAATAAGTAACCCAACACACGGCGCTCGCAGGTTCCAGTGGTCCAAAACGGCCGCGGGGGAAGTGCTTGTTTAGGAAAGGATTGATGATGATATATAAGGAATTTGATGATGATGACATCCGAATGGGTAAATACATGTTCATGGTTGAGTTGAAATAATCTATATTCATATCCTGCAGGTCATCAGGATTATTGGCATCACATACAGCAGTCGGTAATAATTACACGATGCACTCGCTGCAAAAGATGCGTGATGACAAGTACAACTTTCCGCCGCCATCTCTTAACAGGGGTGCATGCCGGGCGGGGGCTACAACATTCGACCCGGCCGCAGCTGCAGGCACTTTCCGTGTGTATGTGTACATCGATGTTTCCCTCTTCCTTATTACTACAACGCAAATGATCTGCTACTGCTGCTGGTGCCGCCTGCAGAAGCAGCAGCAGCATTAGCAGCAGTAGTGGCCCCATACCGCGGCTGTATGGGGCCGCTCTCAGGTGGTCGAATGATAGCACACCTGCATCCATGTGGGCATGTGGGCATGTGGGCATGTGGGCATGTGGGCATGTGGGCATGTGGGCATGTGGGCATGTGGGCATGTGGGCATGTGGGCATGTGGGCATGTGGGCATGTGGGCATGTGGGCATGTGGGCATGTGGGCATGTGGGCATGTGGGCATGTGGGCATGTGGGCATGTGGGCATGTGGGCATGTGGGCATGTGGGCATGTGGGCATGTGGGCATGTGGGCATGTGGGCATGTGGGCATGTGGGCATGTGGGCATGTGGGCATGTGGGCAAGCAACTCATCATTTTATCGCACGGGGGCGGGGAGGATTATTATGGCATAATGGCACCATTACTACCGACCATCCGACCTGGTGTTGCCCACTCCACTCCTCTATCTCCCGCAAACTTCTATGCACAGCGAACATGCATGGAACCGCACATGTACGCGTGCGTGCTACGTAGGTAGTCGCGTTTGTAGCTAGTACGTACAATTTACACGATTAGTAGAACTGCTGACGGAGGCACACACATATAACACACGCACACACACGCACACGCACACACACACGACATGCACTCACCATTTTGTGTTGCAATCCTTAAAGGTCCCATCAAGGTCGAATCCAGATCCTGCAGGTTCAACACGCCGCTGGCTGCTGCTGCTGCTGCTGCTGCTGCTGCTGCCGGTGATGGCTGCTGCTGTCTGTGGGCGCGTGTAGGACTCCGCCACTGCTGCCGCCGCTAAGCGCTCTCCTGTAGCCCTCGCTATCCCAACTGCCACTTCAGGCGTGTTCCGAAGCAGCGCCAATCCTCCTCCATCACCAACCGCAGCAGCTATTGGCGAAGCCGCGAATGCCCCTTCACGCACTGCTGCAGCAGCTGCCCGTTCCAGATGCCTGCTGACCGCATTCTGGCCACATGCCTTGAGCACAGCCGGAATCACCCGCGGCAGGATGGTGATGCACAGGGCAGACACGCAGACTTGTGTCAGGATGTGTCGCCAGCGGCGACCGGTCGCCGGGCCTCCAGGAACGGCTGTTATTGGCATGTGAAGCTGCAGAGAGTGTGATGGACCTGGGTGTTCTGAGATACGCGACTGTAGAGAGGAGGTTACCATGCCGCCAAGGAAACCAACACCTGCGGTTGGTGTTTGCGTTTGGTCCAGACATGAGAATCTGACCTCCAGCGATATTGTTGATGATATTGGCTTTTCTTCTCCTGTTCCTAAAGGCTCCAGTAGCTTGACCTCAAGCGAGAGTGTTGAGAATAATGGCGGTTGTTGTTGCTGCTGTTGCTGCTGCTGCTGGATGGATCCTTGCTTTGAGAGCGGTTCCTGCTGCAGCTCCACCTCTCTAGATGGTGTTGTTTGCCCTGACTGCTGCCCTCCTGCTGTTGCCACTGCAAAAGGGTCCGGAAGCTTTACCTCAAGTGGGAATGCCGGGAGTAATGGCTGCTGCTGCTGCTGCTGCTGCTGCTGTGACCCCGGTACAGAGGATTGCTCCTGCTGTAGATCAACCCCTTGTGCCGGCACTTGCTCCTGCCCTCCTGTTGTTGCTGGCGCTGTGAAAGTCTCCAGGAGCTTAACCTCCAGGGAAAGCGTCGAGGGTAATGGCAGATGGTGTTGGTCCCCTGCCGATTCAGGCACTGAAGGATCCAGCAGCTTGACCTCCATGGATAGCATTGATGGTATGAGCTCTTCATCCGCTACTAGCAGTGGGCGCTCCGGTAGCTCGCCAACATCGTCACGTGGCAGCATTGGTTGCGAAAGCTGTTGCTCCCATGCCTGTGGCATGGAAGTCTCCAACAACTTGACCTCAAGGGACAGTGCCGACGGCATTAGCTGTTGCTCGTGATCAACCGCGGTCGTCGTCAATGGTGATGATGGCTTCTGCGTGCCGCTGGCCTGCTGGGAAGATGATGGCACTGCTGCCGATGTTGAATGCTTACTGCTGAGTACTGCCGGCTGTTGCTCTGCTGGTGGTGTTGATGATGGGGCCTCGCACATCCTGACCTCTAGTGACAGTGTCGGCGGCATTATCGGTGGTTCCTCTGCCACTGGAAGGGAAAGATCTTCTAGTCCAGCATCAGGTGGTTTGAATAACGGTGTGAGCTGCTCCTCAATTACCGTGGTGGGTTCGAGCATCCGAACTTCTAATGAGAGTGTCGAAGACATGGCCTGCGGCTGTTGCTCCACTTGCTCGTCATCAGTCCCTGCCGAAATCGACGGGCCCGGCAACTTGGTGGACCCAACCGATGGCTGATGACCTTGTGATATTCGCTGCTTCTGCTGCTGCTGCTGCTGCTGCTGCTGCTGCAGCTCCGTAGGAGTAGGCTCGGACTGCTCCCGCAGCTCAACCTCAAGTGACAATACTGGAGGTAGCTGCTGATGACTTGTCGCCATGGAAGAGGGCCCCAGCTGCTGCCCAGTCATAGCATGTGGTGATGATGATGCTGTTGAAGCTGTTGGTTGTTGGCGGCGGCAAATAAGAAGCCAGCGCTGCCGTCGACGGAACAGCGTGAACTGCCGTTGCATGGAGCCTGGCGATGGCGGCGCCTCTGGCTCAGCTAAGTTGTTACCCGCTGTGGGCCCCGGTGGTGGCGGAGGGGTCGAACTAGGTGGCGATGAAGATGCCGCCTGCTGCTGCTGCTGCTGCTGCTGCTGCTGTTGTTGTTGTGGTGTTGCAGTCGCTATTTGCGATACTTGTTCAGGACAGTCCGCCACCTGCTGAGCTGATGGTTGTGGTTGTGGTGCTGGTCCAGGAAAAGGTAATAGTGCAGGGTCGTCCCCAAGCATGAGTGGTGAGGTGTTGAGTCCTGGATGTGCTGGTGACGACACTTGATTTTGTACTGAGTAGCTCTTTTGAGGCCTCAAGGGCTGTGGTGGTGGTGTAAATGGCTCCTTCAGGTCAGCAGGCGGCTCACACGACACCTGCTCTTGCACGGCGACCTCAGCAGCTGAAGGTCGCTGTGAGGATGTTGATGATGATGATGTTGATGCGCCTCGCTCCGTTGTCGGCACAGATACCTCGACCTTGGCTGCTGTCGACAGTGCCGCCGACACTGTTCCTTCTTGTTCTGCTGGTGGCCATGGAAATGTTGGTGCTTGCCCGTTATCAGTCGACGTCCCGTCCGACGGCAATTGTTGTGATAAAGTTGGTGCCTGCTGCTGCTGCTGCTGCTGCTGCTGGTCGGCCATACTGCTAGAGGTGGATTCCTTTCGCACCAAGTGTGTCGACAGCTGCGGTGGCAACGGCACCACTTCAACTATTTCCCCGCTGCCACTGACCCCTTCTGCCCGTTGTGGCCGCAGCAATGAACAGCCCCGCGACGGCATCCTGGTATCTTTTTCCGCTGAAGGGGCTGCTGCTGCTGCTGAAGATGATGATGATGATGACAGCATGCGTGCACCGTCTACCCCTCCAGCAGCTGATGATACTTGTACAAGTGCCACGTCACCTGCGGGCAGCAGTAGTGGCAGCAGCTGGATGGCTTGCTGCTCCATTACTGGGCAGGTGGATGGCTCCCGCAGTAGCTTTGCCTCTGATCCCGGTGGAGGCTGTGATGTGGACTGTGCAGGCAACTCTTCCATGAGATGTCCTCCTTGTCGACCTTCCGCTGGGGAAGATAGGGGTTGCTCCCGCTGCATCTTCTCACAATCATCATCCAGCACCACCGGCGTGTGTGCTTGCATGCCTAGGAGCCCGTTCAGCGATGTTTTGATGCCTAAATTGGTTGAAGGCCGCTGCTGCTGCTGCTGCAGCTGCTGCTGCTGCTGCTCCTCCGCAAGTCGCAGGGATGGCAGCGGTTCTTGTTCCGGTTCACGTAGCTGCTGCTGTACTGTCTCCTCCTGCTTTATGACCGGCAATAATCTAAGCAAGGGCTCCTGCTCTGAGAGCTCCACCGACGCCGCTTCCTGTTCCGTTGTTCGTTGACTTTTTATCTTATTGTACAAATAATGCTTAGGCCAACAGCAGCACCCGTACTGTGTTACCCTGCTATTTTCTTCTGTTGTTGCTGCGCCCTGATGATGATGATGATGATGAGCTGCTGCTATTATTTGCTCTTCTGTTGAAGGTGTCGACTCTCCGGCAGCACGTGCTGCTGGTCCAGCAGTAGTACTGCTACTGGTGTTAGCGGGCGCTGCAGTCAGCAGCTGACCACCGGAAGGTACTGATGATGCGGTTACTGCTGCCGATGTGGGTACTTTCACTGCTGCTGATGATGATGATGGTGATGCTGGCATAGGCACATGAACATCATCAAGCTCCCCACCGCTGGATACCTCCTCAGCTGGTGAAGCAGCGCAAGCTGTTTCACCGCCGTCGTCGTTGGAGTCAGACGTGGCCTCCTCCTTCAAGGCGCCCGATGGCTCGGTTCCCGGCTGACCATCATCTTGTATTTGTACGGGTGCAGATGGTTCTTGTGGTTTAAAGTAGCCGTCGTCGAAGCCTAAGGAAGGCGGTGTCCGAGGCCCACAGCTGCTAATATTAGCACTGCTGTTGTCGACAAGCGTCGGACGAGTGGAACGATTACTAGGGATTGATTTTGAGAGCTCTGGATTCAGCCCGACAGCAGCAGCACTGTCGCCGGTAGACCCGCCGAGCGCCGGCGACGACCCGTCTACTGCTGCTACTGCTGCTACTGCTGCTGCTACTGCTACTGCTGCTGATACTGCTGGATGGAATTCACTAACTTCCTCTCCATGCAGAGATGCCCGCTCTGCTTGAGATTGTGAATCACGGCATGGTGCTGCCGCTGCTGCCTCGCCCGTTTGAATTGCGACCGATGCCTGATGAGTGAAGACGAGGCAACGTAAGTCATCACTATAGCCCGAGCTATATTAGCTGAAAAGCAATAGATTACGGCGAAAACCTGCATGCCTGCTTCTGGCCAAGATAAAACTGCCGCACAGCAGGATTGTTAGCATCCCCCATCTGCCTGTTCTCGTACCCCGGGAACGTGCACCGTGATCGATTGGATGAATGAATGATTGATTTTGGTTGACGTACTGTATATTTATTCAGCAGGCAGCAGGGTCGTCCAGCAGCTGCAGCAGCTGATGGTCTTTCCACATTCCCAAAACAAATAACGCGCGTCACCTTGAAAAAAAACATAGAGCCAATGGAATGCAAGTTTTAGTTCAAACTTACCGATTTGCATTGAACTTGGACTTCAACGTCGTCAGCCTTTGCGCTTATTGACGTTCGACGGTTGTCAATATCCACCCGCTCGTGAAAGCCTTGGAAACCAGCGCGAATGAGGATCCAACCTATGGAGTGTGGTATTAATCGAACAACTGTCCTGAAAAAAGATAAAGTATATTTAACGACGGTGTAAGGAGTAATTACTACTAGAGCGAGAAGCCACCGAAATGCCCTATATATTGGACCACGTGTTATTGATAAAGGCATTTGAGAAACAGCAGCACTTCTGGGTTTGGAACTTGCGACCTGGAGGGTACAACATTTTTATTGGGCACTTCGACAAGCGGTTATAGCACCATGGTAGCAACGGCCTAACAGACCTGCTGTGCTGCTGTTTCTAAGACTTTTTTATACTTTTATACTGGTTACCAATTGATTTAAGTTGATGTCAATAAGCGAACGCTCGTTTCTTCGTCTCCGTTTAGCGACATGTTGTGACCGACCAGGACTGCTTACCGTAACTACTGCCCGGAGCAGTCACCGGGTCTGCGTGTCTGTTCGCTACCCTTCCTTTCGCTACCACGTCGACATGGCCATGGAGCTATTACTTTGGCGAGGTTAAATAATCGCAATACGATCGATTATTTATCAATCGCTAAATAGCTCGTATTATGGGGTATACATATTTTTTGCGTTAATTAACGCACATATCTAGCCCTAACAGCGTTGTTAGTGCGAGAGATGTGAAATCCTGTAAGCTTTGCATGGGGCCGCGCTTTACTCTGTTACTCGGTTAATGAATTTGTTGTTTGTGCGCATTCACCAGACAGCCGTCGATACTGCCGTCTGTTGCGGGAGAGACTGCAGACCGATATAAAATGCACGAATAAGTGCGCGTTGCATTTTCTTTGCAAGTAGGAAGACTCCAGCATCACTAAGACATGTTTATTCAAATATATTTATTTGATTTGAATTATCACTTGCTTCAAAATGCCTAAATAGCACCTCACGGCAGGTTCCCCCCTGAGCTTGCCTTTGCCTGCTGCTGGATCGCTAACGCTTTTTTTCCGGCTTGAGCTGCGGCTGCTTAACAATCATCAGAAAGATGTCTATATAGCTATGTATTATATTAAAGCACTTAGCCTACGTCGCACATTTTTCAAGCCCATGCACAAGGTCGGTTTAGTAGGGTGTGCGTGTGTGCGTGTGTGCGTGTGTGCGTGTGTGCGTGTGTGCGTGTGTGCGTGTGTGCGTGTGTGCGTGTGTGCGTGTGTGCGTGTGTGCGTGTGTGCGTGTGTGCGTGTGTGCGTGTGTGCGTGTGTGCGTGTGTGCGTGTGTGCGTGTGTGCGTGTGTATAGTTGTTACAGTGGGCTCCAGACTCGTGAAGAGTAGAGCCAGCGGGTCAGCGGGCCAGCTGGCCGTGCATTGCTACTGCCACCTGAGACGTTCAGGGCAGTCAGGACCCCCTCTCCCCGGGGAGAGGGCCCGACCACCAGGGCAAACAAGTCACCTAGACAGCAGCAAGCGAACCCTAAGGGAAGGGGACTCAGAAACCCACCACCACCACCACGGGGGACGTTTGCCAACAGCTCCCCAGTTGGCGAAATGCCCCGGACCCCCACCAGAAGGCCCACCAGCAACAACAGATACTGACAGGAACTTTGCACGTGGTTACTAGATCAGGCCTGTGGCCCAAAAATCCGCAAAACGAAAGAAACTGAAAAGAGAACCTGATCAGCGAATAGCTAATCGTCCATCTGTGTCAGCTCCCGTGAAAATAACGTGCCCGTTACAAATTGCAAGAAGAAAGGTGATGCGATCATATTCAGTAGGGACTAAATCCCATCCCAGAGCTGCAAACTCCCAGAGCTGCAAACCCCCAGAGCTGCAAACTCCCAGAGCTGCAAACTCCCAGAGCTGCAAACCCCCAGAGCTGCAAACCCCCAGAGCTGCAAACTCCCAGAGCTGCAAACCCCCAGAGCTGCAAACTCCCAGAGCTGCAAACTCCCAGAGCTGCAAACTCCCAGAGCTGCAAACCCCCAGAGCTGCAAACTCCCAGAGCTGCAAACTCCCAGAGCTGCAAACCCCCAGAGCTGCAAACTCCCAGAGCTGCAAACTCCCAGAGCTGCAAACCCCCAGAGCTGCAAACTCCCAGAGCTGCAAACTCCCAGAGCTGCAAACCCCCAGAGCTGCAAACTCCCAGAGCTGCAAACCCCCAGAGCTGCAAACTCCCAGAGCTGCAAACTCGCAGAGCTGCAAACTCCCAGAGCTGCAAACTCCCAGAGCTGCAAACTCCCAGAGCTGCAAACTCCCAGAGCTGCAAACTCCCAGAGCTGCAAACTCCCAGAGCTGCAAACTCCCAGAGCTGCAAACTCCCAGAGCTGCAAACCCCCAGAGCTGCAAACTCCCAGAGCTGCAAACCCCCAGAGCTGCAAACCCCCAGAGCTGCAAACCCCCAGAGCTGCAAAGTCCCAGAGCTGCAAACTCCCAGAGCTGCAAACTCCCAGAGCTGCAAACCCCCAGAGCTGCAAACTCCCAGAGCTGCAAACCCCCAGAGCTGCAAACCCCCAGAGCTGCAAACTCCCAGAGCTGCAAACCCCCAGAGCTGCAAACTCCCAGAGCTGCAAACTCCCAGAGCTGCAAACCCCCAGAGCTGCAAACTCCCAGAGCTGCAAACCCCCAGAGCTGCAAACTCCCAGAGCTGCAAACTCCCAGAGCTGCAAACCCCCAGAGCTGCAAACCCCCAGAGCTGCAAACTCCCAGAGCTGCAAACTCCCAGAGCTGCAAACTCCCAGAGCTGCAAACTCCCAGAGCTGCAAACCCCCAGAGCTGCAAACCCCCAGAGCTGCAAACTCCCAGAGCTGCAAACCCCCAGAGCTGCAAACTCCCAGAA